TGTTTGAGATTTTCTGCGAAGGGTATCACTGATTTAAACAGGTTTTCCAGCTCTGCTTTATATTCTTCACACAAGGTGGCGTTACACCATTTCCAGGTGGAGAGATCACGACATTTCTTTTCTCTCTGTGTGACCTTGAACATCCATTCCATGCTTCAGTAATCTTGTATTGGGAGGAAGCGCCATCTAGTGACTCTCAGTGGACTTTTGCGCAGTATTATGGACAAACATTAGCCTTTTCATTAACCAAGCATCACTTTAGCCCCCTTAGGATCTGGGCCTGAAAAAATTGTTTTGGCTTGAAACTGCCACATTTAGTCTGAAGGCAAAGAAGAATGTTTTTCTAGAGTCTGAAGATAACTAATAGGTAATTAACAATACTGTGATTTGAAATTCTGACTTTTTTCTGTTTCTTCAACTTCCATTATCTTGAAATGAAAAATCTTATTTTTTCAAAGTAGTAACAAGTCTTATTAAATGTTAGTGTGTTTGATGAAAAGTTTAATTAAATGGAGTATCTTAGAGATTACCAAATTTAAATTATCTCCTTTTGAAAATATTTAAGATAGCCTTTTTTCTCCCAGAAAAACCACGCACTACTACAAAGACTGAGGAGAGTTTTTTCCAGCGACAAAAGTAGTAAAGGGTTACTGCTGCTCACACAATTCATTTCAGAGGGTTAAGGTTTATACTATTAGAAATTAAAATAAAAATGGGTCCAATCCACAACCTGGATGGATTGGACCTGTGGATTGCCACATAGATTTCAAAGCCCTCAAAGGACAGGGATGTTCAAGTGATCCAAGGTTTTCGTTCAGCCCATCATAAAGATGAGGGGTTTTTGCAAAATTCAGATCCAGATCTCATTTTGAATTTTGTGTTCCTGGATATTTAGGTACAGGGTCCAAGCCCACTTCTAAACTGGAAAAATAAAATATATCTCCCAAAAATGTTGTGTGGACCAGAGAATATTAAATCTTGGTCATCAGCCTAGCTTGTTTTTTTTCCTTTTTAGTTACATGCAAGACCTGCTTTCATTACTTCATTCCTATAGCAATTTTAGTTATTTTCGTTTTTCTAACTATAACATATTAGCTGCAAGCAGTAGATTATTCAGTGGTTTTCTCACTGAATATATACTGCAGGGTAAATGTTGCATTAATCAGATGTGTCGTTTCACTAGATTCAGCTAAACATTTCATTTATTTGACTCCTTGAGGTTCAACATTTCTGGACAAAACCCTAGGTTGTCATGTTATATACAGTCCATCCAGTAGAGAAGCCTGATCCTGCTCTTACTGGAGCCAATAGTTTTGTTAATGACTTAATTAAAGCAGGATTGGCCCATAAATCTGCAATCCTTTGACGTGACTTATACAGTCTCTTTGCTTAGGGGTGAGATACCATTGAAAGTTGCTTGCACTGGATGGATATCCATTAGTATGGAGATGGGGACTTGTTTTCTGTTGAATCCCCGGTTCTGCACACCTCCCTCTAGTTCTCAGACAATGTTGTTTCCACTTCAAATGGAGCATGTTTGGCCTGCTGCTAGAAGACAATACATGGTGAGGGGAAGGGGGAGAGGTTGATGAAAGAGAGAACATAATTTCTGAGCTACGGGATTCTAGGATTGCCAACTTTCTACTTGCGCAAAACCAAACATGCAAGTATCTGGTATTCACGAGGCATACCGGAGTGGTTGACAAAGGCTTCCTTTGTTGACCGCGCCTCGTCTAGACTGCCGCACTATGCCAGATCAGCTGATCGTCAGCACAGTGTGGTGGCCATTTTTATTTTAATGAAGCAGGGATTATTTAAATCCTCGCTTCTTTGACTATGCCGAATAAACTATTTTACATGATTCTGTCAACAGAGCCATGTAGTCTAGACATAGCCTGGGTTATGCTGTATCTCTAGGGAGGTCAACTCAAGACTATACTTAAAATGTCACTCCTGTAAAGCAAGGCTGTGTAAGCTATCATTTCAGGAAAAGACTTCAGTGGGAGTTTGTGCTCAATATAAAGCTTCCTACAGTTTATCTGGAGGGTCCTTTCTTTGGGTGGTGGCTTCTTCTTGCTCCATGTTCTAAAATTGGCTTGCTACCACAACAATCACAAAGACACGGGCAGGGATGAGAAACAGTGGGCAATGAGATCTGGATGTGTGCAGATTCTTTGGACAGTAAAGGCTTTTAAGGAGACTGACCCGAGCCAGTAGGGTACAGAAACTAGGTTCAGGCTGCCTGATCAATGACTGGTGCAGTGTGGGAGAGGTGCAGAGGGCAGTGTGCATTGGGGAGGCTATTACACCTCTGTGAACTGAGCTTGTGAATTGTCAGGAACAATTTTGTTTGTGAATGCAGTGTGCTACAGGGGTGCTGGGGGATCCAAAGTGTGCTACCAAAAAGTGACAAGGATGCCAAATTTCCACAGAGTAGATAAGGCCAAAGCAGGAGGATCTTCTGATCAGGAGTCTTGCTTTGAAAGCCTAGTGTTAAGCCCTGGGCTAAGTGCAGGGAACACATGTATGTCAGGTCAACCACTCAGACTTGAAAGCACATTTATCAAAGCAGACATTTCCAAAAGTGTTCTTTTCTAATACTGGATGCCTCCCCAGCAACACCCAATGCCTGAGTTTCAGAAGAACTGAGCTCTTGTAGCGCCTATTGACTTGTGCCCCACTGTACGCCAAATTAAGTAGTGCTCTATGCTGCATATGCCCAGCACTGGCTGCGGGCAGTGCTGGCTCAAGCAGCCCCAATTCCTCCTCCCTGCGCCCTGCTCCTGCTCCACCTCTTGGCCCAGATGGCCCATCCTCCGGCCCCTTCTCTGCCTCCTGGCCCTAAACTGCTGCCCCTCCCTGCAGGGGATGAGAGGTGGGTGCAGCTTCTCAGGAAGTGTAGGGTACCAGAATTCACAAGGACAGCCCTGTACTCATCCTGCACATACACCCCTCCACCCCTGTGGCATATCATTTTAAAGCTTAATTTGTGTATGTTTAGATGGGGTATGAAATGGAGCTGCCAAGTGGTGCTGTTAGTCTGCAGGTGAGGTGAAACAATGGTATGCAAAATAAGAAAGTATAATTTCTGGCACAATTTCAGAAAAAACACAACATGACTATGGACTTTACTATTTAAGTTAACTTCAACACCTCGCTGTGGTGATTATTGGTCAACACTACCAAACGACAATGTATTGAACTATTTTGGTTGGTTTTGCGTTAGCAAATTCCCCCCTCCCCCAGAAATAATGAAGTTTATCATGTGGCAAAAATGGCAATTAGCAACATTAGCAACAACAATGTATTAATATGAAATGGCCTCACATTACAAATATTTAATTGTCAAAATCTCTCTCTCTATATATATTTTAGAGTGCATCTGTCTTTCTGTCTGTCTGCGAGTCTGTTTATTCAAGAACTCCTCCTAAACAGTAAGAGATAGGGCCACCAAATTTGTTATGCACCTTCCTCCCCTCCGAACTTTAAGGAAGATCAGGATTTGGTTGTGCCAGGACAACTGTTAGCCCAGGGAAAAGGACTGTTTTTCAATAATCATGCAACAGGAGGGGCTGCTGTTTGGAGGGACGTGATATGAGACTGGCCACTGGAGGCAGTGAGCCTGCAGGAGGGACAACACTGCAGTGTCCATGAGGGCAGCCGTACCAGCAAGGGAGTGGCCAGGAGGGTGGGACTCCGCCATCTTGCCTGCCACCAGAAAAGGTAAGTGGGGCCCCCTGCCTGGGAGACAGCCCCACCAGTCCCCTGCCCTAGGAGCAGCTGGGGGGAGAGAGCCCACACTGGTCCCCAGGGACAAGCTGGCAGTGTAGTCCCCACTAATTTGGGCTGCCCCCAGGGAGAAGCCAGCAGTCAGCTGAGCCCCTCCTCAGCCCTGCTTTGACTCCAGCACCTTCCTGACCATCACACTGGAGCAGCCCCTGCCTATGGTGGAGGAGGTGGAGGAGGCTGCTCCAGTCAGGATGGAGTGCCCCCCCCCCAAGGTCCCCTTTAATCAATTAACCAGTTATTCAATTAGACAGGATTTTACATCCCTAATCCTGACGGCAACATGCCGACTCAGTTCACTGGCATTGCTTCAGACAGTCTAGGGTCAGCTTCCCCTGGGCTACTTCCCAATTCTCCCTCTGGGCATACTTGGCTTGGCACTAGCTTGTTTGGGTCTTCAGGGAACAAAGCCTCTGGCAATCTCCTGGCCAGTCCTCCACTTTCTGGAGGTGCGTGCCACCCTTCCATTTCTGGATCTCGGGGAAAGCGCCTGGCTCCTTCAGCGGCTGGGCCCCAACTGAGCTCTCAGCTCCATCTTTTATACTTCTAGCCCCGCCCCTTTGCTTCCTCAGATAGATCTGGCCCTGCCCACTAGGGTCCATTGGAGTGGCCTTCCCAATCTAGGTCCGAGGAAAGTCAACCCACCTCACTAGACATATTTACAACACAACATACTTGATCACTTTCATTCTAGATAAAAGCATGGAGTAATTTCTTCCCCATGTGGCTTTGTGGACTGAACAGGCAACTCAATAAGTATTCAGCTGACCACCAAGAGTTTTAGTATCCCCAAGCTTTTATCTGAACCAGCATCCTTTTTAGAAGAGGATATAGTCATTGTAGTAGTTTTCTTTCTTGCAAAGGATGCTTTGGGATTACCTGCCTGGTGATCAGGTTTTTCCCCATTCTGACAATTCTGCCTCCCCACATCTTCCAGGACAGAAAACATGTAATTCCTTGATGTCATGATGTTACAACTAAAAATCACAGCACATTACTTCTCTCAGGCTTTGTCAGTGCTACAGACCTTACAGTGACATATCTGTACCACTGCAGCGGCGCTGCTGTAAGATCTCTCATGTAACATTAGTCAGTATAACCTATGTCACTCAGGAGTGTGTTTTTACATACCTGTGACTGACAAATGTTTTACCAACAAAAGTGCTAGTATACACACAGCCTTAGACATATACATAATCCCCTCATCGTAACAACGGACAATTCCAGATTCATGGTGGTTTAAGTTAAAAGAAGGTTTATTCAAGGGGGAAAACAGAATTATGAAATTAAAATTCATATTAAAGTTTAAGAACACATTTAAAGTTAGGCAAATAGCTTAATTTTTTTCAATGCATGTCATCCTCTTTCTGTTTTTCAATTGTTAACTAGCAGATGACGATTAAAAAAAATTCATGCTACATACTGATTACACTTTTATACCTTTCATAAAGTGCCACCCACAAGGGCACTTGAGCAAGCCTCTTTCTGAGAGAAATGTCTATTAAGATGTTAATTGACTTACTCTTGTGGACTAAGTTGTCAAACAGCAGCAAATTTTTCACAGATGCTAATGTCACTACCATTTATCCAGCAAACACAGTTCCAAGGAAAGGGCCTGAATACAGACTATTCACAATGTGGAGTGGGGGTGGGGAGGTTAAATAAATATAATCAATAGGAACTAATAGCTAAAAAAGAGTTCCAGAAATTGGGGAAACAGGAGCCTAGGTTCTTAAGAACCACAAGGCTAGGGTGAGGTCTGGCCAAGATGGCAAAGCCTGGTCAGTGTATTGAGAAAGTGTTATAATTTGATCCATGTTACCCTTATCAGGACTAAAAATAAAAGGCCATGATTCTCCTGACTACTTAACTCTTCTCAGTTTCCTCCTGTTGTGGTGCTTCATACCCATTCCCAAAGAATGGCCCAAACCACTATCACACTAACGACATGCTTCCCCCTCTACATCACACCACAATGCTCAACTAGCTTCTCCCTACAGGCAGGGTCATGTTCCCTCTCTTCTCAGCAGCAGCGGTCCCTACTGCGTGTGGTGTTTCTGGTGCCGCACAAGCTGTGGCTGGAAGCGGAAGCATTTCCCACACTGAGCACAATGGTAGGGATTCTCTCCCGTGTGGATCCTCTGGTGTTTGATCAGATTGGAGTTCCCACTGAAGCACTTCCCACACTCAGTACATTTATAGGGTTTCTCCCCGGTGTGAGTCCTGCTGTGGTTGATCAGATCAGAGCTCTGGCCAAAACTCTTCCCACACTCCATGCAAGTGTAGGGCTTGATGCCATTGTGAATCCTCTGATGCTGGATGAGGTGGGAGCGCTGGCTAAAATTTTTGCCACACTCGGGACATTTGTACGGCTTCTCTCCTGTGTGCATGCGCTGGTGTTTTATACACGTAGAGCTATCACTGAAGATCTTCCCGCACTCAGTGCATATGTAGGGCTTGTGCCCTGTGTGGATTCTCTGGTGTTTAATCAGGTTGGAGCTCTGGCTAAAGCTCTTCCCACACTCGTGACACGTGTAGGGCTTCTGGCCTGTGTGGATTCTCCGGTGCTGTATAAGGTGTGAGCTCTGGCTGAAGCCTTTGCCGCACTCTGTGCATTTGAAAGGTCTCTCCCCTGTGTGCATTCTCTGATGCTGGATCAAGTGAATGCTTCGACTGAAGCCCTTCCCGCATTCAGAACATATGGTTGGTCTCTCTGATCGGGATGTTCGTGGGGGGGGGATGTCCTCTCGGTGCTCCTGGAGTGGCTCACCATGAGCAGTTTCAGTTTGTTGCTTCACTAAAGGGTCCTCTGTCAGTGGCATTGCTGAATTGTGCCAACTTACATGGGCTTTTCCCAGGTGAGGACCATGGTCTATATCTCCTTCAGATCTCAATGAAAATACTCTCTGCAGTTCCATGTTTCCAGCATCTTCCTGCTGCTCTCCTGCCAAAGAGAAGATTATTCCAGACATGATTACTCCCTGGGAAAGGACTTGCATACGACTCGTGGGGATAGGATGAGTTCAGTTTTCATGGTGCCTGTCACCAGTCAGAGTACAGGTGAAGGTATACAATACTAACAAAAGTGAGTCAGGACAGGCAGAAACACTCTTGATATTTGGCCTGAAGATACGAGAACTGGTTTCAATGTAAGAAAACTAATTACAAAACAGAACAAGATGTCATGAGGCAGAACCATGACATCACAATAGCTATTGGAATTCCAGCTATTTTTAAACTTATCTCACTGAGTGTTCCAAGTAATTCAGCATATTCCTCACCTGTGTGGATGTATTTCAAGAGCTTGATCTCCTTGCAAGCCTGGTGAGCTGGGTCCGATAGTTCTTTGCCTTGTTCCATTTGGGAAGCCGTGTCACATTCAGGAATTGGAAAACCTGCCCACAAGAAAGAAAACATGATGGCTTATTAAATATTGAATCAATGCTTGTCGCAAAAGGGGTTTTTAATTCCAGCTTTTCTAATGGGGAGGGGAGGGAACAGAACAATTGTGTGTAAGGGTTGAGATACTGAATGATTGGGAAAGTGCGCCAAGATACCCTTTTAGGGAATAACATATCTGAAGGTAGGTGGGTTGTATTCCTGTAGGACAGGGGTGGGGAATCTATGGCCCATGGTTTGCCTTGATCAGGCCTGCAAGGCTCAAGGCTCACTCCGCCAAACTTGAATGGAAGTGAAGGGGAGGGTGGGGGGAATTGATTCCATCCAGTGCATGGCCGCACAGAGCCATTGCTCATCTCTGGAGCTGTGCCAGGTAAGCGCCCCTACCTTCTACCCACTCCAGTCCAGAAACCCTACCTTCATCCCGTTCTTTCACCCTTCCTCCCACTCAGATCTCCCACCCCCATCCTGCTCCTGCACCCTCCCACATGCCACATCCTCAGCCCGCTCCTGTACCCAATGACCCCACCACATCCCCAGCCCGTTCCCTGGCAGCTCCCTCCCACACACTGAGCCCCTCATTTTGGCCCCACCCCAGAGAACATAAGAACGGCCATACTGGGTCAGACAAAAGGTCCATCTAGCCCAGTATCCTGTCTTTGAACAGTGACCAATGCTAGTGGCCTCAGAGGGAGTGAACAGAACAGGTAATCACCACATGATCCCTCTCCTGTTATCCATTGCCAGCCTCTAACAGAGGCTAGGGACACCACTTCTACTCATCCTGGCTAACAGCCATTGATGGTCCTGACCTCCATGAATTGTTCAAGTCCTGTTCAAGTCCTGGTCTTGACAACATCCTTTGGAAACATCCCGGTTCCACAGGTTGACTGTGCGCTGCATGAAAGAAAGCCTTTCTTTTTGTGTTAAACCTGCTACCTATGAAGTTCCTTTGGCGACCCCTAGTTCTTATGTGTTGGGAACAAGTAAACTCTTGGGTGAATGCCATCTGGTCCTGGTGACTTGTAAGTTTATCAATTTGTTCCTAAACTTCCTCTAATGACACCTCAAACTGAGACAATTCCTGTGATTTGTCACCTAAAAAGAATGGCTCAGGTTTGGGAATCTCCCTAACATCCTCAGCTGTGAAGACCGAAGCAAAGAATTCATTCAGTTTCTCTGCAATGATTTTATCGTGTTTGAGTGCTCCTTTAGCATCTCAATTATCCAGGGGCCCCACTGTTTTATAGCAGGCTTCCTGCTTCTATTAAAAAAAACATTTTGCTATTACTTTGAGGTTTTGGCTAAATGTTCTTCAAATGACTTTTGTTATTACATTTTTACACTTAATTTGACAGAATTCATGCTCCTTTCTATTTTCCTTACTAGGATTTAACTTCCACTTTTTAAATTATGCCTTTTATCTCTCACTGCTTCTTCTACTTGGTTGTAAAGCCACGGTGGCACTTTTTTGGTTCTCTTACTGTCTTTTTTAATTTGGGGTATACATTTAAGTTGGGCCTCTATTATGGTGTCTTTGAAGTTTCCATGAAGCTTGCAGGGATTTTACTTTTGACACTGTGCCTTTTAATTTCTGTTTAACTAGCCTCCTCATTTTTGTGAAATTAAATGCTACAGTGTTGGGCTGCTAAGGTGTTTTTCCCACCACAGGGAAAATTTACATTATGGCCACTATTTCCAAGCAGGCCAGTTATATTTACCTCTTGGACCAGATCCTGCACTCCAGTTAGGACTAAATTAAGAATTGTGTCTCCCCTTGTATGTTCCAGAACCAGTTGCTCCAAGAAGCAGTCATTTAAGGTATCAAGAACTTTTCTCTCTGCATCCCGTCCTGAGGTGATGTGTACCCAGTCAATGTGGGGATAGTAGAAATCCCCCACTACTGAGTTTTTTATTTTGATAGCCTGGCTAATTTCCCTTAGCATTTCATAGTCACTATTGCTATCTTGGTCAGGTGGCCAGTAATAGATCCCTATGTCTATATTATTATTAGAGCATGGAATTACTACCCATAGAGAGTTGGTGCCAGTCCCAGGTAGAGGTATGTTGCAAACACAGGTAACTCCAGTAACATTTGTATGTTCACGAGTTAGAGACAAATAAATACTACCATAGATAGTCTCCCCAATAAAGACCTAAGGACAGGAGTGGGCTGCCATTTGAAAATTCTTTTATATGGGAGGAGACTGTAAACTGTAAAGGGCCTGATTCCCCTGAAGAAAGAACCCTGTGTTGAAGCAAATGAAGTCACTTCAGAGATGCTCATAAACAAAGGACTCCTTACCTAGTGAGATGAGATTCTGGTAGTTCTCCTGCATGACATCCCTTTTGAGTTCCATCAGCCCTTTGCCATGAAGCCTTGCTAGGTCTTTGGACAGCACAGCCACACAACAGAGTGCTAATGGTACCTAAAACAAGCATTCTCAGTTCAGTATTTGCTGCTCCAAAGACAATTCTACTGATAAATAGCAAGAGGGAGTGAATGGAACATGAGGGGCACAGGAACTGGGAGTTGCTGCAGAGAAGAAGAGAAGAAACGCAATGGCAAGAAAAAGAAAGGAGGGAAAACCTTAAAAGTCATACAGAAAGAAAGGTGGATAGGGTAGGAAGAAAACCAAAGGGCGAAGGGGGCGGTCCTACAGCGCACATCGACCAGCTAACGTGTTAAAACTAAAAACTGCCTTATCTATTTTTAAAAAGAATTAGCTGTCACTCTCAAATATTTCCTAGGCTCTGGTGGCACTAGAATTTTCACCTCAAGTTAACAGATTGTAATCTAGGTTCTTAATACTTTGGTAAAGATCAGTGTGTATATTTCCCAATGTTTGTTACAGACTATATATTTATTCTTTATTCTAAGCTGATGCCAAGGGAAACCAAAGCTATGAGAGAATTTCCAGACAAATCTTCAAGTCAATTTGCAATTAATTAACTGGAGGTAAGAACTCAAGGGAAGACCCCAGTGTGAACAAGTGCTTGAAAGTGATTGGTTACTGCCCCCACCTGTGCCTACTCACCCACCAACAATGGCTGGGAAAGTGGCACTGCTGACATGTTAATCGTGCATACATGCTAGCAGTATGGAAGTTTCAGATCTAACAAGCCATCAAGATGAATGGGGCAGGTAACACTCTCTGGTGTTTTTCTTCAAAATACCAGTTCCTGGGGTCATGTGATTACATGAGAATCTCGAACTTTCATTTAAAAGTTTCTAGCCCCAATGGCTACACATAAAAGCTTGAAAATGTGAAGTCTAAATGCTTAAAATGAGGGAAGTAAAAAGGATACCAAATGAAATATTTAAAAGCATAATGATTTGAGGGCGGGGGGGACCTGACTACATTGCTTTCAATTAGCAATACTTCAGTCTTATCGTTTCAGGCTATGCGTTGAGCTTCACATTCTGTGACAGGCTCTTAAAAACAAGATGCACTAGAAACTTTTTAGAAGAGGAGAATTAAATTCTCCAGGAACTCAAAAGGCAGGCAGCAGCTGTCTCCATTGGCTGGATGGATGGAGAGTGCTCTAAACTGCTCTGGGCTGCTCTGTGGCATTGTAAGCATGTGAAACAACTCTTCTAGAATACGTCTCACGCTGATATGTGAAGAATTGAAGGGGGAGATCACTGTCTATGGCCCTTTTGGGTCTGAGGGCTGGTCTACATTGGGGACTTCAGCCATCAGTGATTTTTCCCAACACTGTAGTTGCATGAGAACAACCACAGACAAAACAACTATAATTTGCAATTTGTGTCAGTGCAACTAACCCCTCTTTAACCAGAAGAGACCAAGGTCTTGTGTACACTAACAGGTTACTCTGATATAGCTCTGCTACTGGTTGGCTCCAATGGCTGTAACTGCTGGGACTGCTAACAAAGATATTAATTAGGGATGGGCTACCACCACAACATTCAGGCAATATTTGTATTTAGAGGCCATATTATTGGATATTAACAACTATATATGCTTACAATGGAAATACACAAATGAAAATATAAGTTATCAGGCATGTTCCCTCCTCTTCTAATTCTGCAGGAGACTCCCAGCAGGGGCATCCATCATACTTTAACCTTAAGGGTGGGCAATGACTTTTGTTGGAGGACCACGCCAAGATTTTGGTAAATGGTCAAGAGCTGCAATTTTCTATGGAGGAGGTGTGGAGTCTGGGATGGGTGCAGAAGGGAGCTCAGGATAGGGGTGCAGGAGAGGATGTGGGGTCTGAGAGGAAGCACAGGTCTGGGAAGGGGCAATGCAAGGATCTGGGAGGGAGTTGTGACCAGAAGGTAGGAGACTGCCTATCTCCCAGAACTGGAAGGGACCTTGAAAGGTCATTGAGTCCAGTCCCCTGCCTTCACAGCAGGACCAAGTACCATACTCCCCGACAAATTTTTGCCCCAAATGGCCTCCGCAAGGATTGAACTCACAACCCTGGGTTTAGCAGGCCAATGCTCAAACCACTGAGGAGAAGGTTTGGGTGGTGGCTTAGGACAGGGAGCTGCGGTGTGGTAGGAGGT